TTGAAGTCCCATCAAGCTTTTGTTGTGCTGTCTCCATCAGTCTTAACATGTTTTATCTTATTGGATTTTACTATATGTGATAATATAAACAGAAACTTTTATAGACAAGGAGATTTTACAGAAACCATTGTTCATTTTCTGTTAGTTGATTCTAAATACCCTGTTATACTGTCATCCTCATGAGTGATTTTACATTCTCTTGATATGTTTGATGCTACAGTACATGAAGTTATACTCAAAGACTTCAAGGAAAGAGATACTATGGTAACCACTTTTATGGATATCTTGTGGTAAAACACTATTTTGCTTAAATGGTTATGTTTTGACAGGTGCTATTTTGTTGTTATGCCCTCTTTTATCTCAGTCTCCTTTTTTTATTATTTACTTTTTTATTTTTATCTTTTTAATTAAGGGAAAAATAAAAAATAGCAGGATACATTATAGTAACCACTTTGATTTCCTATTAACTTGATTTGAAGCCCTGTATTGCTCTCACCATCTTGTTTTGACTGATTTTCCTCTATTCTGTTTTGCTTGATAATACCAAGTTCGAAAGTATAGGCAACAACTGTGAAGACAATAAGATTCATTATGATGCCCATTCTGTTTGACTATTATTTTCTTTTGAAGTCCTGTAATGTCTCCAATGTTTGGTTTTATTGGTTTTGTTCTTTACTGTTTTGTTCAATTTTATTATAACTGATGATATAGGCAGTTCCTTTTAAGATAGCAAGAGGCATTATGGTAACCATTGTTGATCACCTTGTATTTTGTTTTTACATTATGTATTATGTCCATCCTTTTGATGTGACTGACTCTGGTTTGTTATGTCACATTTGGTTTTACTGTCTTCAAAAAAAGTAATAAGAACTGTGGGAGTAATAAAACCCAAAATGTGTAATTGTCATTGTACAAAAGAGAGGAAAAGAAAGTGCTCTAAAGGATATAACTGCATGTATATTTAAGTGTATAAGATAGATAACCATATTACTGAGTTTTTGTTGGATCATTGAACAGAACTGTTTGCAGTCTCACTGTTTGAATGTCCACTTTATATGCTTTCATTTTGTAACTTGAACAACTATTTCTAAGATGACAATATGTAATATATCAACTAGTGATTTCCTACTGTTTATTTTTTCTGAAATTCTGTATAACTTGTATCCTTTTTCTGTTTTTTTTCTCCTTAAATAAAATTTTTTTAAAAAGTTGAGAGAGAGAGAGAGGAGTTTGAGGTTCTTAGTTCCTTTTAGTAAACGATTTTTGGAATAATCTACATTACTTATGGCAGCACCGTCACCTGTGCCACTTTCTGTGACTGTGAATGTGACAGTAGAGACAAAGCATGTCTAGCATCATAGAAAATCTATTGAACCACACTGATCTAAATCTTCAAGTTACAAATTTCCATTCTTTTCACTATGATGATGTTCTCCCTCCTTGTCTCTCTGTCTTTCTCTGTCTCTGTCTGTCTCTGTCTCTGTCTCTCTCTCTCTCTGTCTCTCTCTCTCTGTCTCTCTGTCTCTCTCAGCCAGAGTCTCACTATGTAGCCCAGGCTGGCCCCAGACTCATAGCAATCCTCTTGCCTCAGCCTCCTGACTGTTGTGATGACAGGCATGTGCTACCACCTGGCTTCATGGTCTATTGTTAGGAATGTTTTTTCTGTCTGTAAGAACAGTAGAGAGAAAGTCTCACCAGATAAAAACATCTTTGTCTCCCATGCATCCCATTCTCAAGCTTTCCTTCCCTGAGCTTGCCCTGGCCTACCTTTGGACTCCGGCAGTGGGGACGTTGGGGCTCAGCTAGTTTCTTTGAACCCCCCCTTCCCTCCTCGCCCATTTCTCCTGGCAGGTTAACTCCTCCAGGAGCAGAGCCGAATGAAAGCACCAGGCAGAGAATCAGTGGGGCCAGTGGCTGTTGTCCTATGGTGCTGGTGTCCTCAGGTGGCAAAGGTCTGGAGTCCAGGTCCTCCCCCTTCGGCCCTCTCTCAGGGCCTGGGCGGGGCATCACCTTGCTGTCCTGTGTGTGTCATGCAGGAGCTGGCTGACCCCTTCATCACCTCACGCCCAGCTCTTCTACCACAGCCATCTGCCGCCTGTCCACTTCTTAGGGGTCACCTCACAATCTTTCCAGATCCCCTAAGTGCAGGGCCCCAAGCACAAAGTCCACAGGGAAGCAACTCCTCCTCCTCTCTGTACTCTAGAAATCCAGAACCCCTCTCCCCACCGCCAGCCACCCTGTTCTGTCCTCCTGGATATTTGAGCCAGCTGCTGGCCATAGGGATTTTAGAGGAGGGTCAGGCACCAGTCTTTCTGCCCCAAGTGCCAGGGGCCCTTGCTCGACTTGGCACTGGCTCCTGCGTGGCCTTTTGCTGTGAGGAAACCCGGCAGGGGAGGGTAGTGGCATCTGTGCTCAGGATTTCTCCATCCCTTCTCCAAAAATTCCACACCTGCCTGAGTATGGTAGCACAGGCAGTAATCCCTGTACTCTGGGAGGCCAAGGCAGGAAGGTGATGCGCGAGCCCATCCTGGGCAATTTAATGACTCAGTGAGACGCTGTCTCAAACTAATAAAAAAAAAAAAAACCAAAAAACAAAAAAGGGCTGGAGATGTAGCTCAGTGCCTAGACTCTGGGTTTATTCTGCAGCAACCTGTCCTTGTCCTCACAAACTCGTCCATGTGTCCCCCTCCCCCCCACCAAAAGAAAGAAATGTACAGCTTGCAACCTCCGCAGTCCCTCAGTTTCCTGCACTGGCCTGGAGCACACCCACTTTGTGCCCTGAGTAGGCAGTGCAGCCTCCTTTGGCACATGTGCAGACTCCATGCCCTTGGCTCAGCCACGGCTCTAGAGAACAGAAAAGATGCCCTGAGTGATGTTTGTCATCTCAGTCTGTCTGCATCTATTCCGGGTGTCCTGCTGGGGCTTCAGCTCCATTATGAAGTGGGTCAGGTGGCCTTTGGGTTTCCTGAGATGGGCCGAAACCTCACAGAACCCCACAAGCCTCAGCTCCCAGAGTCAGCCCCACACTGCAGTTTTCTGGCACCGAGGTGATGTCTTGCCCCTGGCAGGAGCCGCAGGCAGCCTTGCAACACACTGAATGTGGTGGCACACCCCTGGCATCCTGCCACTGGGGGGCCGAGGCAGGAAGATGTTTGAGAGCAGTCTAGACCCATGTAGCGACTCCAGTGAGATCCCGTTTCCAAGCAAAAACTGAAAAAGAGTAAGAGATTTAGACCAGTGCAAAAGCCCTGGACTCCATCCTCAGGCCACAAAAGAGGAGTAAAGAGGGTTGTGATACTTAACTGCACAGCTTCCCCCAGCCCAGTTGGGGTTCACTGATCCCTAAGAGAGCTTCAGAAGACGCAGTGGCCTCCTCGCAGGGCTTCCCATTTCAGTGTCCTTCCCAGAACACTGAAATGACACTGCTTTGGGATCAGGAGACTTCGGGCACGAAAGTTAATTTCCAACGCTGGTCCCTTTTCTGCCTTCTCCCTGTGCCAGCTGTTTTCGCCTCCGTCCGGCCAGTCCTCTCCCGGAAGGCCGAGGCTGACAGACACTAACTACCCACAGCGCCCACAGGGGACTGCAGTGGTGCAAGTGCCCTGGGATGCAGGGCTTCGCCCTCTGCACTGCTCTGCGGCCTCCTGGCCAGCCGGCTCCGGTTTCTACACCTCTCTTGTATTTGATGAAAAGTCCTAATCAAGGCCGGTGACAGTGGGGCTTAATGCAGCTGATGCCACCCATGGAGAGAACATATGATACCAGAAGGCGAAGGACAGGCAGAGAGAGGCTCCGAGCCCGGCGGTAAGACGGGAGCTTGCCCTGGCCGGGTTCAGAGACGCCACTGTTTTGTGCACCTCTGCACCCCTACGTGATGGCGTGCACATTCACCTGGCGCTCCTCCGGCCGGCTCCTGCTGTTACCCTCACTTCCCAAGGGAGGGACCTGAGGCTCAAACAGGCAGAACTGCGACTTGAAGCCCTGCTGCTGCGTGGCGAAGTTGGTTTTTTAAAAATGTTTTTTTTTTTTTTGCAGTACTGGGGATTGACTCAGGACCTCGTGCTTGCCAGGCAGGCACTTACACCACTAAGCTAAATCCCCAGCCCTGTTTGTTTGTTTTTATGGTACATGTTTTGCAGTAGATAATGACTGCATTCTTCCTGGAGAGTTGGTGCATATACATAACCCATCTTACTTATCTGCCCACCTTTCCTCTTGGGAAAGGTCTGCCTGTTTTCTATTATCTATCTTTTATCTTGCTCTTTATAGTTTAGGTTTCTCATAGAGGAGAAACCATGTGATATTCCAGCTTGTGTGTCTCATTTCTTTCACTAAGCATCGTGGTCTCAAGGGGCATCCATTTTCCCACGTTACCATTCTTCATGGCAGATAGTACTGCATTGTGTATAAATACCACCTTTTGTTTAACCATCATCTGTTGATGGACGTACAGACCACTTCCAAGATTTAGCTGTTATGAGTTGTGTTGCTATAAACATGGTTGTGCATGTATCTCTGTAATGTGATGTCTTTTATTCTTTGCGGGAAATCCCTTGAAGAGGAGCAGCTTTGTGGAATGAAACTTCTAGTTCTAGCTTTTGGAGGAATCTCTTTACTGATTTCCATAGTGGTGGTACTAGTTTGGTGGTACTAGTTTTGTTATAGAAGGATTCCTTTATCCGCACAGCCTCGCCAGTATTTATTATGATTTGCTTTCTTGAGGATTGCCTTTCTGGAGTCAGATGGAATCTCAGTGTTAATTCACATTTTTCTACGGGCTAGAGTGGTCGGCCTTTTTTTTTTTTTTCCACATATTTATTGGCCGTTTGTACTTCAAAGATGAATTCTGATCCGAGCTCTGCCCCATGTACGGGACCGGGCTGGCCTGTTGGTCCCTCCCTGGTCACATGCAGGCACTGGGATCTGACCGTGCTCTCCCTCCGGCTGCCACTGCCTGGGACACACTCACAGCCCTGCCTGTTGCTGTCTTTCCTCCCCAGTGTCCTGGGTTTCCTCCTGTTGCTTGGACTCCAGCTTGTCTGCCCACAGCCCTCTACTGAACACAGAAAGGTGAGTCAAGCCACTCAGAGCCTTTCTTTCTCTGCGGGAGGGCAGGGGTCCCCCTGGTCACCTTCCCAAGCTTTGGTCCTTTGGAGGTGAGTCATTGCCAGTTCCAGAGGGAAGCTGCCTGTCCAGAACGTACGCTGTACTCCCATCCCTCCCCAGGGCCTGCAGCTTGAACGTGAAGCTGGTGCCCAGGCCCGTCCTGCAGGCAGGGCCAGCTTGGCGGCTTGTGTGGGTGGAACAGATGACAAGGAGGGGCTGGGGGGAAGATTCTGGAAAAGACAGTGGTGGGCTGTGGGGACCTGGGGATAGAGGAACACCTGGATGGAGCTGCTGCCTTTGGGGGCACCTTCACAGTCAGGACCAGAGAGAACACTGGTGTTGCCAGGGCACCCCCAAGAGGGACTGGCCCAGCGGGAACCTGGCTCTCTTCCACCTATTCTCAGCTCATGCTGGTGACTCACTTTGGTCAGATCCAACCAGAAGCCGGAAGACAAGAAGTCTTTTGCAGGAACCCTTGTCCAATTGGTCTAACCTGTTTCCCATCGATGGGTTACGTTCTGCTTCTGTTTTTCCAGCCCTTGCATAAGCCTCTGTTATCCTGTATCCCCCATCAGAAGGTCAGCTCTATAAAAGGGAGATCTTACGGATCTCATTCACTGCCATAACCCCAGCTCCTGGATTAGAACCTGAAATATTTAGGTACTCAATAGTATTGTTGTTAAGTGACTAACTGAGCCAAGTTGGGAGGCTGAGGCAGGAGGATAGAAGTCAGCATAGGCTGCATGTAGTTCGAGATCAGCCTAACTACATAGTGAGGCCCTTCCTCAAAAAATAAAAATAGAAACAAAACAAAATCCAAAACTGGAAAACCTGGGCCAAGGTCTAAACATCATTTTGCCAAATTTGTTTGGAAATTTAAACTTCCCTCTTCTATCGCTTCGTACCCATTTGCAATTTCAATACCCAGAAAAGATAAGTGTCTGTTTCATTAGTAAGTTATATTATTTATTAGTATTTGGAATTATAGGAAGTCCCTGACTTACTAAGGAGTTCCGTTCCCAGAGAATGTTTGTAAGCTGGATTCCTTTGTGAGTCTGACAAAATGAGTCTCGTACACCTTTGGCACCAGGATACAATGTGAAGCATAAACGAACCAAATAAAAATCCTGTAAATAAACTATTTTACTTTTACAGCCACCTTAAAATGGCAAAGCAGACACGGGAGCTGCTTTCACAACCTGTTGGCACCTACAAATGTTCGTAATGCGTGGTTGGTTCCTGTCTTTGAGGTTCAAAACTTTGGTGTTTCTAAATTGGGGACTTACTGTGTTGAAACTGTTGATAATTGACTTACCATATCAATATCTTTTTTGCTGTTGGTCAAGTAGCTACTAGAACTAAAATAATTTGATCTTTTTGAAGTTTCCAGTCCCACATAATTTATTTTGTGTATAAATTCACATGCATGGATGTGTTATGAATGGATCTAGTAATATTTTAGGGTTTTTTTGTGATTTTAGGGATTTGTAGGAAAAAATTTAGTTACATTTTAAAAGATTGGTAGGGGTTGTCACTAGTGAGATGTTTTAACATTAACATTTTGACGTTGATGCTGACTATCTGATTTTAAAGAACAGGTTTTTAAAAACTTTAATATTTACTGATGTACATTTGCAGTACAGCATGATCATATGCGTCAAGGGGTATTGGTACAAGCATGGAACACATCTGAATTCTTTTTCATCTCCTCTTTTTCATCCCCCCTTCCCCTTCCTCCATCTCTTGGTTCCCTTCCCTTTTGCACAAGATCTATCTCCTATTTCCTTTTATCTATCTTTTATTTTAGAGCTAAAAGTGTTTTATAAATGATCAGCTTACTTTGCCATCAGTTATTCTTTCAGGTTCACTTGAATGATACATGCATAGCTGGAGCTAAATGTCCCCCTATACCTGCACGCTTCTTGAAAGTATTTACTCTAAGAAATGGGGAAAATGACCATGATGGGCAGCATAAGTGCCTGCTTGGCAAACTTGAGGTCGTGAGTTCGATCCCTGGCACTAAAAAATAGATCATGAGGGACTGTAGAATGTTGAATTAAAAATTGAGCAAAAGGTATCGCGTCTGGCTGTCAGATACCTCCCTTCAAAATAGTATTAGGAAGTTTGAGGCAGAAAGGCAGATGGTGAAAATTTTTGCAAAATCGTTTGTCAGCTTCTTTACTTGGAGAGCATACATTTTCAAACAGTCGTCAAATGTAATGAATCTGTGCATTTTGGCTGCCAGGGTCATTGCTGTTAATCTAAGAGAAAAGCCCAGTCAGTGCTTGGGGTGGGGCGTGTATTGGATTTCTTTTTGCTGTATTTTTGGAGCTTTGTACAACTGTGGCTGTCATCTGGGGTATGTCCCCAAAATCCTGGCAGGGAAAGCAGGGCTGGCAAGAGTAGCAGCCATTTATTCCTACAGGATGAGAAATAAGGAAATGCTTCTTAAGGTATTAAATGCTGCAATGTCTTTTCTATGCGGATACATTGCAAATATTTTAGGCTTTCTGGGCTGTAACATCTGTTATAATTATTCAGTTCTGCTGTTGAAGAGAGGCAGCCAGAGACAATATATAAATGGATGAGTCTGGCTGAGGTCCAGTAAAACTTTATTTATAAAAGTAGGCGGTGAAAGGTGGTATGGTGGTACATGCCGTAATCCCAGCCCTCAAGAGGCTGAGGCAGGAGGAGCTCCACAATTCAAGGCCAGCCTGGGCTACGTAGTGAGTTCAAGACCATTAAGCACTACAAAGCAAGACTTTGTCTCAAAAAAAAAAAAAAAAAAAAAAAAAAACCCACAAGAAATGAAAAACCAAGTGGGTGGTGAGCTAGATTTGGCCCTTGGGCCACAATTTGCCAGCTCCTGATCTAAAGCCAGGATAGAAAAGAGATAACTGCAAACGTACGTATTTTGGAATTTGAGGTTGGAAACTTTTCCTCTTGGGACTTCAAGAAACGTAAAGGAGTTGGGGGAAATCAAGTATTTTTTCATTAACCTAAGATTTATGTTTGCTATCAAGTTTTCACTACTTAGATATATCATAATTGAATTCATGCTGAGCCATTGTTTTGTGGTAAAATTTACTTCCCATCTTTAGCAGAGGACCATGGAGAGAATTAGAAAACCATCTATAGGAAATTCTTAAGGGACAGCATTATTAATTTGGGCATATCATAGTTTAATGTGTATATAAAAACTAGCTACTAAATGATATCTCTTTTCTCCTTCATTACAACGATATGTCCAACTTCAGCATATGGAAACATTTGTGCAGTATAAGTTTTTCTGAGCAAAAGACATAATTTGTAAATACTGTCAAGTAAACTATGCATCCCGAAATGTAGCTCAGGTGACTTGATACATCCTGTAAAACTGTCCCACATATTGCGGGGAAAGAATAGCTCTTTCCAGATGTTTCTGTCCACAAGCCTTCCCCTTACTCCGGCTGTATGAACCGTATCACAAACAATTGCTCTAACATCTGGTCTTAGTAATTCCTGAATGATAGTTGGCAATATGTTTTTGAGACATTCTCACTATATAGTGCAGGTTGGCCTTGAACTCAGTATGTAGTCCAAAGTGGCCTTGAACTTGCAGGGATCCTCCTCAGCCTCCCAAGTGCTGGGATTATTACACTTAGGGGCACGGTCAAATGATTATATTTTAACTTGCAAGACAGCACCTTAACAAACAAACAAACAAAACTTTTTTTGTGGCTTTATTTCTGGATAAAATGGGACCAAGAACTGAAAAACAAGAACCTCAACCAAGATTGTAATAAAACCAATTAAGGGGAAATATGCAGATCACAGAAGGCTTCTTAAATGAATGAAACTGCTTTACTGGGTGCCCTGCCCACACTGCTTAAGTTGCTTCCCAATGTTAGTGTTGTGGTCTGCATACTCTGTACAGCAAAGAATTATACACCAGTGTATCTTTTAGTTCCTACAAATGGGAATGCATGTACTTCAACACAGTGATGCATCTTGTTTTTAAAATTTCCTTTTTGAAAATTAAAAATGCAGGGGCTGGGGATTTAGCTCCGCGGCATAAGCGCCTGCCTTGCAAGTGTGTGGTCGTGAGTTCGTTCCTGGTACCAATAAAAATGAAAAAGACAAAAAAAAAAAAAAGAAAGAAAATTAAAAATGCATCTGTTTACTTTAGAAAAATGATTAAAACCAGAAGGAGGAAAGAGAAACCCCCTCCTAAGGCCACTAGGCAAAGGGAACAGTTCTTGAGTCTGTTACTACTGAGACTTTCAAACCAAGAAGACAGCGACTTCACAGAATGAAGGAAGGGGAGAGAGAGACACTTGTTTTGCTGAGAAGCAAGTCACTGTGCAAACAGCAGGGCACCGTGCTGTAGGTTACAGCCATGGTCTGCAGTGGGCATGCAGCCAGTGGCTTCCCCCTGCCTCCTGACAGTTTCTCCGGACTGGAAATTGAACAGATAAAAAGAAGTTTCAGGTTACACAAAACCCCTTTCCCGTTATTGTTGTAGTATTCAAGAAGAAGAAAGGAGAGGACAGTAGTATTCATAAGAATCTCTCCCCTCCCCACCATGTACTTATTGGCCACTTGTACTTCTTGAAAAGTGCCTATTAAATTCATATGCCCATTGTTTGGGTCACTTGTTTGGGGGGTGGCCTTTTTTTTCCAGTTCTTTCTATATGCTAAATATTAGCCTTCTACCAAAACATTAGCTAGCAAATTTTTCCTTTTTTTCCCCCCAGGTTTTCTCTTCACTCTGTTGATTGTTTCCTTTGCTGGGTAGAAGCTTTTTAATTTGCTCTAGTTCATTTGTTGATTTTTGATATCTTTTTTTTCCTGTGCGATTGGAATCCACATCAGGAAATCCCTGCCTATGCCTGAGGCTTCAAGTGTTTTCCCTGTTATCGCTCCACAGTGGCAACGTTTCTGTATTTATATCTAAATCTTTGATCCATTTTTGTTTGTTTTCA